TGATAGGAGCAGAACATTGTACTGGAAAGATTAGTGTAACCTTACTGATAATTGATTAAGGGAGTCAACCAATTGATGGGTGGAAGATATTGTACAAACCTAGACAAAAGGTGATGAGGGCCCCCATTAGTTTATTGCCACTTCATTCCTTCATCATTAGTACTTCTCTATCAGAGATATCTACTTATTTGTATTGTAATTATTTTACTTGTCTCTCTCTTTTTCTTCGCTAATAATATAGCACATTTAGCGCTGGACCTAGACACTTCTAGTTAACCCCCAATATTCCTTCATTACAGTAATAAAACATTGCAAGTTTGAACTGGACACAGAGCTACTAGTTAAAGACTACATGTCCCAGCCTCTCTTGTACTAGCTGTGGCTGAAAGACTAGGTTTTGGCAATGGATTTGAGCAGGAACGAAGATTGCTGTTTCTGGGACATGCCCTCATAATGAAGCTGCTTGCTCTTCATTTCTTCCTGCCTCATTCTTGCAGGTTGCTCTGTACCCATTTTTCTCTCCCCTACCTGAAGCAGGTGTTAAGAGATGATGCCCTTTGGGAACTACATAGCTTTCTTCATCCTTTTCCTAGGAGACCGGTATGTGGGCCTGGGAGTTGCTTCATGGGTCAAGCTTTCATATGATTTTGCAAAAAGGGAACATGTAGGTGTATCACTAAGTTCTGGCCAGTTGGACGAGAATGAAACTGGGGTGCTGTGCCTGGGTCATGACCATAATGGGAAGCTCTCTGCTTCCACTTTCCTCCTTCCTGAGGGCAGGTGACTGACCCTAGTGGTCTTGAGCCCACCTTGTCTCGGGTGTCATTTTACAGGATACAAAGCACAAACACGCTTCTATGCCCCTGCACCTACCTCATGGGGAAATGCTGCCTAACCTCCTGGGATTGCCTACAAACTTGAACTTCTATTATGAGAGAAACGACTCCCATCTTAATTAAGCTATTGTTACTTGGTCTCTGTTAAAGCAGCCAAATTAATATTTTAATATACAAATCATAAATATTGATGATTACCACTATGTGTTAAATGAGTACATGATTGGTAAATATAAAGCACATTATACATGTAAAGTACAGTTTGAACTATCCCTTATCTGAAACACTTGGGACCAGAAGTCTTTAGGATTTGTTTTTGCTTTTTGTTCAAATTTAGAATACAGTCGTCCCTCAGTCTCCATGAGGAATTGCTTCCAGGAACTCCTGCAGATACCAAAACCTGCAGATGCTCGAGTCCGTGATATAACATGGCATAGTATTTGTATGTAACCTACACATTTCTGCCCATATACTTTAAATCATCTCTATATTACTTATAATATCTAAAACAATATGAACACTATGTAAACAGCTGCTACGCTGTACTGTTTAGGGAATAATTACTAGAAATAAAAAGTCTGTACATATTCAATACAGATAAAATTTTTGTCCCAAACATTTCAATCCAAGGTTAGTTGAATCCATGGAGGCGGAACATATGCAAAGGGCTGACTATATCTGTATTACATACTGGTTGTCATGCCAATTCCAAAAATCTGAAATCCAAAATGCTCAAAAGAGCATTTCCTTTTAGTGTAATGTCAGCACTCAGAAACTTTCATATTTTGGACCATTTCAGGTTTCAGACTTTTGGAATAGGAATACTCAACCTTTAATATTTAAAAAATATTTATTCCATTCCACTAAACTTTAAGCATAAAGCATCTATAGTCTACTGAGAAGGAAAGCTGTAATAGAAAGCTTAGGCTGAATTCAACTTCTCTGTCACTATAACCCTGGGTCGATTTTCTAATTTGCTTCATGATAAGCTGGTTTAGCACAGAAAGCACCTGGGAAGATGCAGACCACACAATTCTGGGTTACTAGTCTCTGGTCATGGGCTCTATCACACTCCAAACAAGACCTTTAAAAGAAAAATGAACTATATGAAATCTTCAAATTACGTATCTTTTATATCTCTTTATAGGCAAGCATTATAAAAATGTGAATTTGAATATTATTTGATTGCTGGGCTTTTGTGATGCTTGTTTTCTTAAAGAATGCAGCAAAAATTTCATGGAAACAAAGTCTATTTTCTATAGAAGAACGATATTTGATATTGAGATTTTAAAAAATTTGCCATTTACATTTATTACCTTTTTAATAATTTTGCACGCTCATATTCAGACTTACTGTTTAAATAAGTATTTTTGCTTGCATGGCCCATTTGGTGAAATAGATTTATGATCAACTTTATGTACTTGTATCACCACTGCACTCAAAGAAATATCAGGAGTCTCTGTATAACTCCTTAGGATATATACAGTTTGTCATGTTTTAGGTGGAAGAGCATTGGAAGGTGACTTATCTAACTGGAAAAGTGGTTTGGAGGGTATAGGCTTTGGAGCATGAGGTTGCAATTAAGAAAAGCTAAAAATTGGCAATATATATCCTGAATAGAAATACACCTTCAGAAAGAGATGAAGATATTTTGACTTCACAGTGCTGAAGTCTATACTGCTAAAGGTAAAAAATGGTGAAATGTAATTATTGGTTATGAAATTGAAAATTTTTATTTTCTGTACCACTGAAGTTATTTTATATAAACAGTAGTGTCTAGCTTTCTTTTATCAAGATTTGATTGTTATTTTGGTTTTCCTTGGAGTATTAAGAACAGAAACTTTGTTCTGCTGATCTTAAATCCTCAGAACTGTGCTTAGCAAGTATTGGGTATTAAGAAAAAAGAGAGAGAGAATTGTTAACTGAATAAATAGATGAATGGATAAATAATGTATGCATTTAAGAATTATGATTTCCAATGGTAAGAAAGGCATTGCCAGTACAAGATTTTCCTTTAGAATAAAAAAGAGAAGATAATGGATCTCAAATAAGTTGTTTATCAAGAAGCTGCTTCATAATCAATTTTTTAAGTCTTGTAGGTATATTTATTACATTTGGCAATACAGTAACATCAGATTTTGCAGAACTATGTCTGTAGGTGTGAGATTATATTAAAGAATTAACCTGATACAAGAATTATGAAGGCAGGTTTAGGAAAAAACAGGAGAACGCTGCATTAAAAAATACTTGTGATACTAAAGTATAACATTAAAAAACACCAAAATTGGAAATATTGTGTAGAAGAAAAACTAAATGATTAACTTGAATGGTTTTGATATTGCTGATAAATGGGTCATCTTCACTCCTATGAGAACCAATTTATGTGAAATTCCATGAGAAAGAATTAGTTACAACAAGCAGACAAAAAGAATTAGTTACAACAAGCAGAAATTTAGTCTATTTCCAAGAATTTTAACTCCTGTAAATCACCTGACATTTTCTAATAATTAGGATATCATTTTGCACAGCCGCATACAAATCTGGCCTAGGGGTCTAGAGGTAATCTGTTTCATTCATGTATTTTAAGTATGTAGCTTAGGAATAAGGTATTAGGTTTGCAACATATAAGCAAAAGAAATAATATGACACTGGAAAACAACACTATTCATTTAACATAATGAATTGTCATGCAATAACTCAGATCTTCCCAGGGTGTAAATTATACAGATTTGAAAGCTGCATTTATTATTTAATGCCTCATTCCCAGACAGGTGCTTACTCAGTAGCAAAATCTGGCTCAGCATACCAAGTGTAAAGCTATTTAAAAAATAGGAAGGTTTAAAAAAAATACACTATCATGTAGATAGCTAAAATATTTGTATGTATTTTTAATCTTTTTTCTCTAATGATATCTAGGATATTTTATTTTTATTACTACAAATAGTAGAGACAAATTTGAATTGTATTAGTAGCAGAGATACATGAGCTAAAGCTTGTATTGTTTAAAGCACATCATCTAAAAAGGCCTATCAGGAAAGTGTTCATATTAAGTTGGCTTCCAGTACTCTCTAATAAGCTGACATCATTTTGTAAGAGCCAAGTGTTGTAAAAGTAAATGCTAGGGTATTCTAAAATTTCCTAGGGGAAGAAATTTCTTATTATAGATTACTTAATGAGTTTATGTTCTCAGTTGTATATCAGCTCATTTTAAATTTTGCAAGAGTTTATGACTTCTAAGAACTCACCTACTAAAAGGCTCTTTGCTGAGTGGGGATAATTAGGAATTAGTTAAGTAAGGGGGATTTTTTTCCTGGTGTAAATAGCGGAAACCGTGAGCTATCAGGTAGGTGCTTATAAATGGGCAGAGTATTTGCCCAAGATTCTAACAACCTAGCCTGCCCTCCACACGCTGAGGGGTACCGTCTGCTACTTGCCAAGTAATTGCCATTTTTTGGCAAAGACCACCCAGGGCTTGGGCTCAGAGTTCATCCTAGGGCTGGCCAACCTCTGTAAATCTCGTGTCCCCTGATTCGGAGCAAGTGCATTTAATTCAGGAAGATCACTTACGACTGAGTTTTTCATCATGGCTTTGACTGTGAAGCCCTCAGAAACCAGGGAGTGAGGCTGGTGCACCGGGAGAGGCTGTTGTGCCAGCAGCTTGGTCCTCTTCGGCATCTTGTCTGGGCATTTGTTTAAGCTCAGGGTCTCTTTTTCTGCCACCATCTTCCTAGAAAATATCTTGTTCTCATAAAAAGTGTTGTAAAAGAATCAGTGGGTTTTACGGATGTGAGCAGGAGGTCGGGAAAAAAAAATGTCAAAAGGCGCGTTAATGGTAGAAATTCAACCCCTCGTAGTGCCCAGGTTGGTCCAGATGTTTGGCAGCTCCTAGGTGAAGGGAGTTTAGGGGAGGGGCGGGGCGGGAAGAGGGCAGGACCGTGGCTAGAGCTGCAACAAGCTTCCAAAGGTAAGCCTCCCGGTTGCTAGGCGACTGGTCAACACTGCCGGCGCGTAGCTCTGCCCGCCCCCCCCCCGTGACGTACGCTTCCTGGGCCTGAAGCCGGAAAGGGCGGCTGTAGGGACGTGGGGAGGCGACGTGAGGAGAAACGACGCATTAAAACTACGACTCCCAGCAGGCCCCGGGCCGCGTACCGTCCGCGCGTGCGCATTTCTAGGGCCGGGCGCGGGGGCGGGCAAGCCTGGACGATTTAACTCGGGAGAGCCGCTGGTGGGTAGGCGCGGGTGGGCGCCAGTGCGAGCGTAGGCCCCTGCCTGCCCCGCAGCCGCCGCCTGCCCAGTGACCATGATAGGTACGTGGGTGCCTGCCAGGTACAGCCTCTCTGCGCCGCCCCGCGCCCCAGTCAGGCGCCACGCCCCGCCTCGGCCGACCGGGACTCCCGGTGGCACCTGTCGATGACGGAGCCGAAATGCCCGTGCCCACCCCGGCCCACGCCGCCGGGCTCCCCGGTTCACTGCCGCCGGCCTGGCGCCCCAGTGTGTGTGTCCCAAGCGCCCGCCCGCCCCCGCTCTGAGCGTTACCGAGAACACAGCCTCGCCGGGGGCGCCGGGCGGCCCCGCACCCCCGCTCCTCGCCCGCGGTCCCCCGGACCGTGCGGGGTCCCGAAGCCCTCGCCCCGCCGCCGTCCCCGCTCGCCTTCCTCCCTCCCCCGGCCGGCGGTGGTCCTGCGGTTCGGGACCCATCGAGACCCATTCCCTGTGGGGCTCTTTGAGGAACCCCCAGCAAAGCGTTAAACTCGAACGCAAGGCGCCTGGTGAGGACGGTTGTGCTCCTGCAGAAACTCCGCCAGGGGCATCGCAACTTCCCGCCCCCTCAGGTGTTTCCTTTTCAGCCTCTCGTGGAAGGTCTGAGGTGAAAGAAAAATGAAGAGTAAATAATTCCCGAGATTACGTCTTCTGCCTTTTGCAAAATTAACGATTTTTTTTTGTGTGGTAAAACCGAGATTGACCGAGGTGCGGTTTTGCAAACGAAACTTGGTGGCTGTCAGAGTCGTTCATGAACACTTGAAGTGTGAGATGAGCAAATCCTGTCTTCCAGGGTTGTTAAGCCAAAAGTTGCTTTAGGGGCTGACCCTGAAAATTCGTGGAAATGCACCATATGTTTAGAAAACTGCTTTGTGAGATGTCATTATTATGGAGGTTTGTCCACGTAGTGTATGGAGGGTTTCGTGAGCTCGTTTAGGGCTGACTCCTGAGGAGTGTCGCTTACAAAACACTTGGGATTGCAGTAAGTACGTTCGGAGTCCGATGCGGTCTGTCCGGAAGAAAGATGAAAGGTGGCTTTATAAAACACGTAATCTTTATGCACTGAAAATACTTCTTACATCTGCTTATGTTTATGAAGTTATTGTTAACATGGAAACATTCTACCCATCAGTGGGAGACTCAGGTCAGGTCACTGGCGTTGTCTTTGTCTCTGCGGTAAAACAAGAATGTTGTTCAACTTTTCTTCCCTTTCTATCATGGTCTGACTTTTGGTGAATGACTTGTAGGTTATCAAATTATGAAAAAATTATAAATTTTATGAGTTTTCATGAACTCTTTTTAGGTGACCTTTACCTAAGATTGACTTGTAATCACAAATCTGAACTGAATAGGAAAATCGAGTAAAAGAGGTTTTCCAGAATCCATGCTGTCAGTAGTCTACAGGAAGAAAATAGCCTGTGTCTTATTTTGAAGACAGTTAAACACATTTTAATTCAACTTAATCTAATGCACAGATAAGAGAAACATTTATTGCAAAGCTATATGAAGACAGGCACTTAAAATCTAAAGAACATTACTCAGTTACAAATTATTACCTAATAAGTTACATAAATAACTTTATTAGGATGAAATATGTTTGGGCAGTTCTGTTTAGTTTTATCTGGAATTCTTCTTCCAAGAAGGAAGAAATACGGTCTTTGGAGTTGATGATTAAACAGTTAGCAATTACTGGTAATGACTTGGAGAATAGACGGTTGGTTTTAAAAAAAGTGTTCTTTCTCTCCAGCTGTTGCTTTAAGTAGTGCAAGTAAGTGTGCATTACAACATAAATGGCTAAACCCATGCCCGCCTTCCTTAGGAAATTTACCTTACATAAGAAATGGGGACAATGTGCAATAAATTATTTTATTCAACTAGTTGCATTGCCTAATTCTGAAATTAGACACCCGTCTCTTTTTTTTCTTTCTTTCTTTCTTTTCTTGAGACAGGTTCTGGCTCTGTCACCCAGGCTGGAGTGCAGTGGCACCATCACAGCTCACTGCAACCTCCAATTCCTGGGCTCAAGTCATCCTCCTATCTCAGCCTCCTGAGTTACTGTGACTACAGGTGTGTGCCATGCCTGCCAATTTTTAAGTTTTTGTAGAGATGGAGTTTCATTGTGTTGGCCCAGGCTGGTCTCAAACTCCTGGGTTCAAGCAATTCTCCTGCCTCAGCCTCCAAAACACGCTGAGAGTACAGGCATGAGCCACTACACCCAGCTTCATTAGACACATTTCAGTAAACATCCGAATGGCTGGTTTGGGATTTAGGTGTGGTGAACAGTGCTAAAGGTAGGTGAAAGTGAAAACGATGAAAAGGAAGCCCTAGAGTGATGGGTTTTGTGTTTTTGTGAAGATAATTCAGAGCCAGGAAAGACTTTACCCAGTGATCAGTTGGAGATCAAAAGGTAAATAGTATGTGTCTGTGATTGTTTTTCTGTTAAAGGTAAGACTGTTTCTCAAAGCTTGCTCCTTTCAGACCTACACTTTCTCCAAGTGCTAAACTGGCCTTAATGCAAATAATCCTCTGCCACTTTATTTAAATTCTAGCTTCCTTTAAGGTGAAACATAAAGATACATTTCCTGGTAGAATAGGAATAAGCAGGACTGACTGTGACCTCACTGCTAATGAAATGTACCTTCCTTTGACTTCGTCAAAACCAAAGATTCTCTTCTTGGCATGAAGACTGTTTCAAAAATGCTTACATTTCCCACCTGAATTGTGATTGATACACTGAATATCCTGATCCAGGCAGCTACAGAAACATAATTTAGTTAAAGTCTGTTAAAAATTGTGCCTTTGTGAGCTGGGTGTGGTGGCTTACGTCTGTAATCCCAGCACTTTGGGAGGCCAAGGCGGGCAGATCACCTGAGGTCCCGAGTTCGAGACCAACCTGACTAACATACAGAAACCCCATCTGTACTGAAATATAAAATTAGCTGGGTGTGGTGGTGCATGCCTGTAATATCCCCTACTCGGGAGGCTGAGGTAGGGGAATCGCTTGAACCCAGGAGGTGGAAGTTGCACTCAGCTGAGATCGCCCCCTTCGACTCCAGCCTCGGTAACAAGAGCGAAACTGTGTCTTAAAAAATATATATATATTTTGCCTTGTGTAAAGTGTGGAGAAGGATTTCAGGACAATATAAAGCAGAATAAAAACGCCTAAAAGAATTCAATTTAGAAAAACGTAATTTTTGGTACCTCTATTAAAAATATGTGTTAACTTTTTAAAAAATGAGCAGTTCTTTTTGTTTAAAATGGATTGTTAGTGGTGATATTTGTGGTTTATTCTAAATGTTCCGTAGAACTGGATTTAGGTATTTGAGTAACAGCAGATATTAGAGTGCATGGTTATATATACAACCATGTTGTCAGTGTTGAAATACACATTCAGTGTCTTATACTTTAAGAAGATTTTCGTGAGACAAAAACCAGTCATTGGAAGATAGTCTCTTCTATGCCTTGTTTCACTTAGCATCTCTTTGAGAATTTACACATCTGCAGGTACAGATCCACTCCACAGCAATTCCTGCTCAGTCTTTTATGGAATACACTAATTATGAAAACACTTACCAATAAATCAACACTCATTAGGTTTACAAACAGCTGTTACCTGAAATGTTTGCGGCCATATCTTTTTACTTACATATGTAAGCGTATATGTAAAATGAAAATCTTATGACAATTTCTGAGTTAAAGAGTTTGTAGATTTTAAATTTTGCTCGGTATTTCCAAATTTCTCTAAAAAAAATTGCCCTATTTTTACAAGCCTATCTAAAGTCTCCTCTAATACAACATGGTAGTAAAGAGCTGCCCTATCTCTCGGCTGAAAATTCCAAAAGGCATTCTTCCTGAGACTGACTCAGCTTTCACTAGCGGAACACCTCCTGGATTTCCAGTCCCCTACCTCTCTCTCACCGCAGATGTAGTGCCTTTCAGCATACAAGCTGCACAGCTCTCCTCGGTGGCCCTGCCTTCCCTGTCAGTGTGTATGAGAGTACCTATTTCCTCCATCAAAGATTTTTTATTTTTGCCCTCTTCACAGATGAAAAGCAGCATCTTTTAACTTTTCAAATTAATATATGAAGAAAACTTCCTGTTCTCATCTTATAATGCATCAGTTTCACCAATGCAGATGCAGTGATTCCAGCACCTGCCGTGTGTCCTGGACTGCTCTAGGTGCCAGGGAAACAAGAGGGAACACAGCAGAAACAGTCCCTTGCCATCAGGAACGGACATTCCAACTTCACTATTTTCACATACATCTACATATTTGTTTTCAAGCTTGTGTGCAGTGAATTTCAAAGTCTCAATTTGTATTTCTAGTTGAAAATACTGTGTACTGCTCTTTGCCCTGCCATTTTAATGAGTTGATGAAAAACAACTCTGTGCCTAAGTACCCCAAAGCTTTTGTTTATGATGAGGGAAAATTGTGTCAAAAATAGGCTCTACTAAAGTTTTGCATAGAAGATTTTATGTAATTATTTAATTCTTCTTCCATGTGTCCAAAGGCTCTAAAATGGCCCAATGCCCTTTACAGTTTTGGCCCTATTTCTGAGGATGTTTATGCAGTCTGCGTTTTTTGAAACCTCATAGCTTCATTGCTTGAAAATGATACAATGAAAGTATTTTTGTATTAAGATATGTAAATCAATTCCTTCCTCCAAAGCTTCTTTGAAAAATGCAAAAAAAAAGTTCTTCGAAATGCTTCATATTCATGAAAGCAGTTTTAATGCAAAATACTTGATTCTGTTAGCTTTTAGTTCTTTGATCAATGAAAATTGTTTCTTACCTGCTGTATCTTCAGCCTTTAATTGTAGCCCAGTGCTTATTCAGTGTTTCTGTTTTAATTTGCATTTAATGAGCTCATTTTAAATGTTTCTTTGTAGTAATCTGAATGGTTTCCTCTCCCTAAATTTTGTAATGTTAAAGAAAGAAACTCACATGACACTTGGCTGATTTATGTGGCAGCTCACCTCCCTTTCTTATTTACTGCATCCTGTAGGATAGAAGGTTGGTTAAAAGGAATGACAGTAATAGGACTCTT